TGCCCTGTTTGATTACAACAAGCAAAACAGGACTGAAAAAGTAAATTAGAATGAGGAACAAAGGGTTGACTGAACATCAAGTGGTTATGATGAGCTAAGGTTAGGATTTTCAAATAAATTAAATTTAAAAAGTAGCTCTGGGCAACAGTTAAAATTTAGAATCAAGAATAATCACGTAACCTCTTGCAATTACACTACTGATGAATCACACAATTCAAAAGTAATGTGTGTAGTGTGTAGTCTTTTATTTTAAACATATGAATGAAAGTTCCATAACATTTGCAACTTTGCAAACACTTAGAAAATCATTTTTATAAAGTAGCAGTTAAATAAAATATTTTGTGTAAATCTCAACTTAAAGAATTTAATCAAAAGTTTTTATACTGGACAAACAGCTAATGCCGGTGTTTACATTGCTGATGCTGATGTTAGCGATTTGCAGCGCTAACAGCTCAAACACCTGCACCTGTTCTCAGTTGTTATACTGCAATGACTTAATGTCTCACAATTGTACAATTAAAATAAAAATAAGCATAACAGAGGGACACCTAAGTTAAAGACTTTGGAGAGGCAATGTTGAGAGAAGATTCATGTGTGAGGTAAGACAGTGTTAAGTCCACGTTGACTCTGAGTTGATGCTTGATGTCAGCAGCTGTAGAAGTGATTCCTTTTGGATGGAGACAACCAGTTAAATCTGAACCAGTTGATGGTGGTAAATTGTAAAAACGTCCCGTGGGTTGTAGAGTTCTTTTATAGTACTGAGAAAAACCTGCTGAGAACGTTGACAGAAATTAGCAGCCCACCTCCCTGTGAGAAATTGTAGCTGTAGTTTTGTGTAGGACTGCAAGAATAACAACATGCAGAGCAATGGTTCGCAAACACAGAATGCGGACAAACAAGACCATGTACATGGGGAGATTTTGTTTTTGTAAGATAAACAAGGAAACACAAGTGCTGAAGATGAGAAAACTGAAGAGGACAGCAAAAGCAGAGTGGGATTTGCTTTCCTCAGGACCATATGTCAGTGTAACATTCAAAGCTGAAACACCTGATCTGAAATCGATACTAACTCAGTCATTGTTAGTTGTAAATCTTTTTTCCAGGCTGCCTCTAAAGCATAATGCAAAGCCACATCATCCTGAAGGTTATTCTACATACAGTAATGAGAGCAGAGGGTATTTCACCAGTGCTGACCTTGTGGCTCTGCTTTATGGATATACTGAATCATTTGATAATCTGGAGTTCATTTAAACCATAATATACACCTGACTATGTTAAAGGTTCACTGAGTAGGGAGTAGCAACATCTAGTGGTGGAGTTACACTTTGTCTTTAAAAATGCATCATGTCCTCCTTTTCTTTCATATGAATGCAAATGTATCACACCGTTAGTATAGAAACTAGGACAGTCAAAAAGCGTTATTGGTGTTAATTTAATTGTGAATGAATTTTACTGTAGTACACTTTAATGGATAGTCAAAATGACTCATACTGCATAACCAGTAATTCCACCGTCAAAACACATTGATACACATGTTAATAGCACATTGTGCCATCTCAACAGCCAGCATGCATTTGTGGAATCTTCAACTTCAGGTCAGATGACCTGCTTACATCAGATAAGTCTCATCGAGATCAGAGCAGTAAGTCTGACAAGGTGACTGGCATATTGTCAAATGGATCATCCAAATAAATATATCCATATTTGTTGATTAGTCTTGATGAGTTATGATTTCATTGATATTCCCTTGTGATAAATGCAATTTAGTTTTCCTCTTTTCTGTGACAAAATCCAAATCTATTAGGTTTTTAATTTAAATATTACTTTACTATTAACATAACATTACAATTATTTATTAAAATCTTTATTGTAAGTAAGTAAATCAGGAAATGGCCAAAATATTTGATATTACAGTATATAGTTTTAGTTTAGCATCAAATTTACCGTTTAGCAGGAGAACAACCAGTCTAAATGACCATATATGGTCCCAATATATTGTCTAAAATGTTACAGTACCTATTCAGATGGGTGGCATATTTATATATTAGGATTTTATGAAGTTTTATCAAGAATTTTCTTTTACTAATTTTCATTGTAGAACATGTCACTCTGCAACTGACACTGCCTAGAGCTCTGTCAATTCTATTACCAACACGGCACAATACCTAGGAAAAGTTCTCATCGTTTGATGATTAGTATCAAGTACAAACACTCAAAAGCACATTATTGAACAAGATGACTATGACTATGATGACACCATTATTTAGCTCACTCAATTCATTTGTTGTTCCAGCAGAGTGGAAACCTGATCATCCTAAACGACTCTCCAATTGTGTTGAAATGACACATCATTTTTAGCGCTGCACTGCAGGCATCAACAGCACATTTTCCTCTCTCTTCACTTCCTCACTTCATTTGCCGCCCACATGCTAGGATTGCTAATTATAGCTGCTCCAGTCACACCTAACCCGCTGAATCAGTAGCAGCAGCACAGACACGGTAGAAAAGGAGATAGGCCAAGGTTTCAACACTCTATCTGTTTATTACCCTCTGCTGGCTGCTGAGCGGTGTTTATGTGTCTGAAAAGATAATTGGGTAGCTTAAAAATAGCGCCCCACACTGAGAGTCATGAGTATGGTATAGATGGAAAGTTTCCACTGCTATCGGTTGTAGATATTGAAGTAATGCTTCTCAAAAATTGCGACCTTTAGAGCCCAGGCCAACAAATTCCTATGTAAAGACTGCAATTTCGCACTCTTAGAGGAAGGAAATACACGTTTTATAAAATGCTGAAGACTGTCATAGGCTCATATTGACTTAAAATGGACTTAAATGTTTTTTGATTTCTTTTTTTTTTCAATGTACAAAAGCTTTCCAGTTCATGGTGTTTTGTGAATTTTCACATGTGGTAGACATTTCACCAGACTGTGTTGGACTGCAGGTGTTCCTTTTGTATGTCTCCAAAACCATGATTGTGCAACTTGTTTAAAGTAAGATTTATTGTATTTTTGCTGATAATCTAAAGGGTTCCTTTTCTTTATTAATTTAAAGACTTAAAGAGAAATTAAAATAATTATATTTGTTTTTACCATGAACAAATTGTGACATTAACTTGGCTAGAGAACATGTTTTGCTGTCCTTTGGTTCTATTCAGATTACGAAAAACATCAGTTCTCCTGCATAAAATAAATGTATAGAAATCAAAGACCAAAATTTAGAATCCAACATCTGACTATAAAATGTCATGCATGCAGTGCAATTGTAAACAAGTTTGGTTAGCCCATTGGTGGCATGGTCGTTCTAATTACATGGTACATTATTAATTTTTAAGAAGGCAATGGTTTCATTAGATTATTTGATGACATAATCAAATATCGTGGTTACAATAATATTTAAAAGCGTAGATACTGCGCTGATTTACTGATTCCTGTCCACATACAAAAATCTAAAACAACAACATTTACTGATTCCTGTCCACATACAAAAACAAAAAGAATCTAAAACAACAACCCCCAATATCATTGTTAACATTAACATTACATTAAAGGCCAATATTTAAATTAAGAGACTTTGTTAGAGGCATTTGTTGGGCTAATCCATTAAAATCCAGACATTATTAGAATTATCCAGAATCCAGAATTATCTCATGTAGAATTTACCTCTGAAATATTATCCTATGCGAAGGCTGTGTAAATGTCCAGACTGGAAACTGACAGTTGACGCCACTTGGACTAAGTCAAACAGATCTCTTTTTTATAATAATACCATGGAAATGGACCTCTTCCCATGGTTTGTGGTATCCGGCTCAAGTGGCAGGGAAATAGAGACGTGGTCACGACACGACACCAAAAGCATCCAGGGATACAAGGCACAAAATAAAAATGATCATGTGTAAAAGCCTGATAGGCTACAGTACTCCCCTCCATCTTTCACTTGCACTCAGGTTTCTGTTTATGGTATTCTTTGCTTATGCTGCATGTGTTCATCATGCGCCCCTGTTGGCTCATGGGTAGATTAGTCATCACACTGCTCCAAAGGCAATTTGGTTAAATTGCAGAGGACTAACTCAGTGGCTCTCATGTGACTCTGCTCATCCCTACTGACAAATAGTGATTGACACATACGCATACAACTAATTTATCTCCAAAGATTTTATCCTGTCGTGACACAGCTGCAGCAGAACCCTGATTGTTATGGTTTTTTATTATTATTAGGGTGTCTCTTGTTTTGCCAACATTAATCTGCAGAAGGTAAAAAGAGAAAGATAGGGAGGGGGAGGGCTAGAGCCAGTAGCACACAACAGGAGAGGCTGGAAGGGCAGGAGAAGGACAAGAATGAATGATTTTGGCAGTGGACTTCCCTGCAGAGGTGTATGCTGTCACTGATGCCATCATTTTCTCCTGTGTCTCTCCCCCACCTCTCTCCTCTCTTCCACATTCTTCTAAACTTGCATTCATGAAAAGTTCATGATCATCTCTGTCTCTCTCACGCTCCCTCTCTGCTTGGCTCTCTGCACTACACATTTATGCCAATCAATCCACTTAGACAGACTTTCATGGAGGCAGTAGGAGAGGAGACGAGGGGCTGGAGAGAAGGGAAGGAGATGCTTTAGCTGGGATGGGACAGAGGGAGGAAATCATAGGGTATGAGAGGAAGGGTGTGCTGAAGAGGAAATATTATGTAGGAAAAGAGAGGAAATACAAAAAATAAAATAATTTAAAGTAATACTTGCGGTATAGAATATATAATATATTTTTACATTCATAAGTGTGGCTTTAGTTGAGTCTTTTTCTATGATAGGGATTGGTGCAGACTAATAAACTGGAGGTGCCCTTCACGTCCTCCGTGTAGAGCTTACCCTTGATATGCAGTAGTAAAACGTGAGAGTGTGTGTGTATCCAGTAGCCAGTCACTAAGGCTGCCCTGTGTTGGAGAATGAATGTGTATAAATGGGAGAGGAGAAGGAGGGGGTGATAGAGACAGAGAGAATGGTCTGAAGGATGGGTGGAGGGAGGGGGCAGGGGGTGGATGGATGGATGGATGGATTTGCTGACAGGGCAGGCAGAGTTGGCTGACAGGACGTTGGGGCAGTATTGTCAACTCTCCTTTTTGCCTCCTACTTTATTTCTCCTTTGCCAATTTGCACGCTGTTGTTTGCAGGAAAACAACAGAGAAAATAGAGAAACATTCTAACAAATGCGCAACTGACACCTGGAAATTACCATGCAGGTGCTTTACTCACATCTTCATATGTCTGTCATAGTCCTTAGAAGAACATGCATAAAACACAAGTCATTCTCTCCCGGAGCAGCCCACCTGTCTCCCCGTCTCTCCTTCATTCTCATTCACATATATAACATACAGCAGCAATAATAATAACGTGGCTGATGGTGGAGTGGAGTCATTTAGCTGGAGAACAGTCAAGAAGCATTGGTCTCAACTAAATTATTCACATACACTTCACCGGCTGCATTGCAATGATGAGAATGTGCCTGGAGAAAAGGCGCAGGGCACATTAGACTGTCTGTCTGGGTTTCTAAATGATCCAGTTACAAAGGACATACGTAGAAACCATGGTGAATTCACAAGAGTGAACTTGAACTGTAGCTGAATAAATGTATGCCTAAGAGTAAGGTAGACGACAGGTAATTCAGTTCTAGTGAGTTGTCAAATATTCAAATTAATTTGTTTTATTAATTAATTAATATTTTTTCCTCCTATCTAAACATAACAAACATAGATATAAACAAATATACTCATAATATAAAATAATAATAATAATAATTAAGAAAACATTTTATATACTGTAGAAAGATATAAAAAAGCTGAGGTTGCTAAAGGAGTGACTGTGATCACAAAGCAAAGATCTCAGACAGAAGAAGAAAAGTTGTTACTGATTTAGATCAATGAAAAACAGTTGGCCGGCAACAGTATTTCAGAGACAGTAATTGTGAGAAAGCAAAGCGAACATTGCACCATCATGACTCCTCAGCACCATTAAGGACAAATGCGTTAATTGGTTTGAACTTGTATGAACTTGTACACAAAATACTGTTGAAAAAGTTTGAATAAGCAAAGATGACATAACCTAGTACAGTGTATTCCTTATCAGTGTTGTCATGTCTTTGAAGGGTTAATGTTTCCAGTTGTATCCAGGAAAAGAGCACAGGTCAATGTAATGTCCACTGTCAGGAAAGCACACGTCTACTTTATGTCTCTTTCTATGCGTGTCTTCAACAGTGCAACTCAGGCTGATTCAAAATGTGCACTTAGAGAAAGGTCTAAGCATCTAAGCTGTGTGTGTGTGTGTGTGCACATGTGTTTGTTAGTATGCATGTGTGCGTGTGTAATATGCAGCATTTATCCTTTGATGGCTTTCTGATGGGTATGGGGTTGTATTATGTATTCCTTAGGTGAAGACCTTAGCTCACGCAGTTGCTCTGAAATATGAACCCATATTCATATCAAATAGGATGAATGTTATTATTTAAATGTACTAATCTTAATAGCAGGTGTTTGTCTATGTTTACAGCAGTTTAACTGTAAATCTGAATATTGCTACTTATAATAGTTTTCGTTGATAAAGAACTCTTTAATGCTTTTTGAAAAATGCTAATTTAATTCATAACCCTTGGCAGAAAATCGTAAAAAGCCTATAATTAGTAACTAATAGAGAATGGTTGAAGTCTTTGAGGCATCTCTTCACAGTATGTTAACAATGTATATTGTACTCTATTGTATATCAATGTATGGCTGCTCCTTATTAGTTAGTATAGCTCCTCCACTGGTCCAAAATACTTTTTACAACATGGTTGAGTGGACATTTTGTGTAGTTATTTATAATGTTCCACAGTCATTTTAGCATGTTCCTCTGGCCCATTCATGTAGTAACAGAAAGCATCTGACATATTTTCTTATTTTGTCTCCATAGCAACGGCCAGTTCAACAGTCTCTGGCCTCCTCCCTGTGTCGGGAGTCCCATTGGAAGTGCCTCCTCTTGACCCTCCTCATGTACGGCTGCTTTGCCACACTCATCTGGTGTGCTCTCTGTCGGGTACCTGTTCTCGGCTCCGCCTCTATACCTCTTGGTGCCGATGACGATGCGACCTCAGCGGCCTACTACAATGACATTCTGCATTTGGAAAGTCCCTGCTCCAGTGGTTATGTCTACATCCCCCTGGCCTTCCTGGCCATGCTTTATGTGGTTTACCTGGTGGAATGCTGGCACTGCTTTTCCAAGACAGCCATGTTGGCTAATGCTGAATTTCAGGTATTTGTGAAAAACATTTTTTTTTATTTGTTTGCTTTAGTTTGTCATTAAATGTAAGAGTCTGTGTGCAATGTATATTCTATTATATTATACAATATAAATGGAACAAAAATGCCATTTCTAAATGATCTATAAAACAGCAGAGGTGTTTTCAAATCCACCATCTTTAGCAGCATAAATGATACAATAATCATTACTAAATACTAAAATACTAAATTCAGCTCAAATCAATAAGTTCTCTCCTTTACATACTTCCAGGCTGTTGTTAGAACATATATGTAAATTCTGTAGAATACTATTTATGTACTTTTGTACATAATCATAACAGTGTTATCATTGACCTTTAAAACAGGAAGTGTATGAGCGTGTGCAGAGACTTCAGCAGGCCACACCCTGTATTTGGTGGAAGGCCATCAGCTACCACTATGTGAGAAGAACCAGGCAGGTGACGAGATACCGCAACGGAGATGCGTACACAACCACACAGGTACTTTTTTTTTCAATATATTAATAATATCTATTTTTAGGTCTTTTTTGGGGCTGAAAAGTATTTAGAGGGGAGACATATTATGCAAAACAGACTGTGTCAGGATGTTGGTACACATATTTCCATTTCTCTAGTGTCTGCCTATTCCTTAATTTGGACAACTACCTATATGTTTTACAATAGAATTGTAACCTGTGTCAGGCTCTGCCATTGTAATGAATATAACCCAGAAAGCTAAGCATAGTTGCTTACGTAGCACAGCTCTAAATGAACCCGACTCATATTATACGTTTGGTGCCTCAACACTGGAAGAACCATAGGTAATAGTAACAACACGAGAGAGACATCCAATGAGGTTGTACAACTAAAAGTATTATGGAAGTACAAACTTTACTACTCACCACTGCCAAACATCCAGGTTTATCCTTGGATCTAGACTTCCTTCTAGAGTTTTCTTCTTTTGTGTTTGTTTGTGTAAAGCACGTTTCTAATATTTCACAAACATCAAAAAACCATATTCATTGGTAAAAAAGTAGAAAAATACTGTATGTCCCCTATAGATTACAATGGCTTCCAAAACTTCCCTTTTGTATCATGCCTGTTTTCTTTGTTCTCATTTCCCTCCCTTGACACCCACCTGACACCTCCCCTCGCAGGTCTACCATGAACGCGTAAACACTCACGCTTCCAGTTCGGAATTTGACTACGCCCGTTACGGTGTGAAAGACGTGTCAAAGGAGCTGCTGGACCTGCAGCTTCACCCTGCTGTACGCCTCCGCTTCACAAAATGTTTCAGGTGAGACTCGTGATCAAACTAAAAGTCTGTTTTATTTCAGTCCTAATGTGTGTCATTTATGATGTGGAAATAAGCTGACATTTATTTGTCCATTTAGCTTCTCCAGTGCCCGTGCAGAAGCTGCCTACCTCACACAGGTATTGCTGAAAAAACATTATGAGCTGAATCCATAGTTTTATAAAAAAAACTTTTTTGGTATTTTAATATGAAGTTGTTTTAAAACTAGCCATCCTTATCTTTGAGCAGAAAATAACACCATGGTCAACATGTGTTTCATCTACTTGCTTCTGTTGCTCAAATAGCTACAAACAGAAACATGTGACTCTAATGCAGAACAATAGAAATCCTCAAAGTTTAATAAATCAATATTTTATTGACCTAGCTTTGCACTGAAGAAATATATTCAAATAAGACTTTGGTGATTATGCGGACACACCTAATACCTTCCCTCCCTCTTTTGTTTTGACGTCCTAAGCGAGCTCGGTTCTTTGGAGAGAACGAGGGTCTTGATGACTATATGGAGGCCAGAGAGGGAATGCACCTTAAGAATGTGGATTTCCGTGAACATATCCTGGCATTCCCTGATCCTGCTCATCAGCCTTGGTTTTCTTCTGGTTAGCCTCTGCATTCCTTTTGTCTTGGCCCCTGCGTGTGGTGTCAGAATTCCGCACAGCATACGTCCACTACCATGTGGAGAAGCTATTCGGGGAGGATGAGGACGCAGTCCTGGGAGGAGGTGGCGGAGGACCAGGTGGAGGTGGAAGAGGAGATGGAACCGAAGGAGGCACTGAGAATGGAATCCACCCCGGAGGGATTGCCATTGGAATTGGCCTGAACGGGAACAGCTACAGAGCCATTTCTCGGGTCAACACGGTGGATATGACGGAGCTGGAGTGGCACATCCGCTGTAACCAACAGATGGTCCCCAGCTACTCTGAAGCCTTGCTCATGGACTTGGATTTAAGTGGGGGGACAAACCCCACTACCTCTACACCCATCTCTGGGCCTCCGGGTAACACCCCTAACCAGGTGACCAACCCGCCTCCTTTTGCTCTTCCTGTGGTATTTAACTCAGCTTACCTCCTTCAGAGCTGTCCTCGATGCAGGAGGACAACATCCAGCTCCAGTCTCCCCTCCAGACTCAGAGCCCCTATGGGAACCACAGCCCTCTTAAATGCTACTGTGGCAGGTATTAGGGCAGCAGGACCTGCAGGTGGAGGCATCGGAGGGAGGCTGGTGCTCAGTCGAAGTGGATTTTCACTTGGTAGACTCGGAGGAGGACGTCAGAACAGCCTGTTTCATTCAAGAAGCATCGGAGGAGGCCTGGGGGGGAGCAGGGAAGACGGAGGAGGAAGTGCAGCAGGAGGGGGAGGAAGTGGAAGCAGCAGTGTTGGAGGAGGTGGAGGATTCCTGGGGCTAGGTTCAAGGCAGGACAACGAGGAGACAAGAGGAGTGTTAGAAGGTGAAGGGGAAGAAGAAGAGGAGGAGGAGGAGCACGAAGAGGAGGTGAGGAGGGAGGAGGGAGGTAGAGGAGGCAGGGAGAGTGATGAAGCCACAGAACAGGAAAACAGAGCAAGAGGTGAGGAGAGGGAAGGAGGGAGGGAACGTCCCCCATCCTACGAGGACGCATTTTTCTTCCCTGTTCTTATCATACACGGAGACGAGAGCTGCCATGCTGGAGACGACATGTGAGGAGTAAGAACAATTCACACGCTTAGATGCAGAAAGTATGGACGGAGATGGTGACTGAGCAGGAGAGAAAAGTGGGCCAGGCAAGTGAGGCAGTGGAGGGACATAAGATGTGCTGAAGAACAAATGAAATGTGAAGTGACTGTTGTTGAAAGAGAGGAGCAGCAGCACGACAGGACATGGAAACAGAGAAAATGAGGTTCGAACAGCTTTGTAATGGCTACAAATGGAAAGGCAAGAAGGAGAAATCAGTTAGAGCAGGACGGAGAACTTGAATGTAATTTAGGGAAGGAGGTAGAGGAGCAGGTAGTCGGCTACAGGGGATTTAAATAAAATGAAAATGGAAGGTGGAAGCTGAGGAACTTGAGAGTGCAGCAACATGATAAGATGAAGTCTAAGAAAATGAAGGAGTGCAGGAGGTACACATTCTGAGTTGCCAACTTCTGCTAACATGGATTTTGTGTGAGAAGGAATTATAAATCAGGAGTTTGGAGAAAAATGGAATGACCTTAAATAAGTTTAATCCAGATCTATCTATGCAAGACAGGAGTGGGAGGAGGAACTTAAGTTAGTAACTGGAGGGACGCGGCTAACATCCAAACTGGAGGAGCAGTTTACGTTAGGCCTAAGATATTGGGAAAATCCATTTTCAGAAGAATTGGTACACTTAGAGCAATAAAAAATTGGTAATGTACTTGAACCTTCACATATCAAGCACAAGAACAACATGCGTTTGCCTGAACATGTTATACTAGTTGGTCATCACAAGATGCTCTGAACAAAGGTACATTTACTTTCCATTAAATTGAACCTGTTTCACAAATTGGGAATTTGTCCCACATATTGGGCCACAACCTTCAGTCAATGCTTCTATACACTCATTACTGAACCTGCTAATCACTTACCTGCTAATTAAACCCAGAGAATGTGCACAGGTTTTAGTCCTACATTGCCTCACTGTCAAATCTTCTAATAATGTTTTCATCTTCAAGTCAGTAAACAGGTTAATATTTAATAAATACATTTAAATTCTTCCTCAAAAACACAAAACATGTTGTTGTTTTGCTTGTTATCAAGGTAAAAGTCAATTATAACCAATGTCATTTTTGTACTGTCACGAAGTGTACCAATTTTTTAGGACATGAGATTTGTTAATCTAAAATTTAAAATCTGAATATAGACTAATACACAGGGACTCAACATGTACTAAATACTACAAATGATGGAGCTGAGGTGAGATTATGTGGATCAGGGGCTGTCAGACTATTTCATTTTTTTAATCTGATAAGTCACAGGGTACCTGTGGATTAATCACAGTCAATCATGATTAATTGAGATCGATGGTGTATCTCTGTATATTGTTGGAAGAGCAGCTAGATATGTTCACGCATTGTGTTTTGTGATGAATCCAAATGATGTAATTAGTATTATTGAAAATGTCCGAACAAAACAAAAACCAAGCTCCAGATTTTGCTTTGTAATGTTGGTTGGGCTAACACTATAACAGTGTAACGTTGGGGTTAAGTCTATACCTTAGATTCTGTTTGATAGCTTTAGGTGACAATTAATACAAAACAGAATGCTTAAAAATATTGGTATTGGAAGACAAATGTAAGGTTTTAGGAAGTTGAAGCACTTCTGCTTATTATTGTCTCCATGACACCAGACACCTGACGAGCCTAGATAACATTTTTAGTTCCAGTCAATGAGGGAAAAACAATTGATTTCCTTCACTTTTTCAGGCAGTCACACTCTTCACCATTAGCTTCCCCATTACTCCATGTCCATTACTGATGTGCAGCGGATAGAAACATTTCATAGAAAAAAGGGAGTGACTATTCACCACCCCCTCAGCCTCTGCCACCTCCTCTCCCCTCTGCTCAGGTTTGCATCTGCACTCTGCCTTTTCATTCATCACCTCTGTCTTCACCTCACCTGACTTAAACGCACACAAGTGTGATTATCATTAATACATCACCTCCTTATTCCAACCCCCCCCCCAAAAAAACAAAAAAACAACCGTCGCATCTGGAAATGGTGGTTTGCTTGTTCAGTTAGGATGTTACTGGCCTCTGGTTCTAAAACAGTCACTGCTTTTGTTGTGATCCTCCTCTCAGCTTTTCCTTCCATCACCTTCAGCTCATCTCATCGCTCTCTTTAAAGCAGTGGATATGTGATACACCTCTCACAGCTGCTGGAGATACAGCGATCAGGTTTCATTCTCTCCTCTCATACTTCCCACTCATGCAGTTTGACATTTTTCCTCAAATGGAGATGGGTAATGTTTACCCATGTTACATAGGAGCAGACCACTGAATGCTAGAAGACAAGACTTTGAGCAGAGGTTGCCTCAAAAAGGGATGTGACTTCCGCACACACGAGTGAAAATGTTATAATCTCACCAGTTATGCCTGCTTAGATTGAATCTAGTTTTGTTCCCCACGTTTGTATTTAAAGATGGGCCTGTGCATTATGGAGAGAAAAAAGAAAAAAACAGAACACAGTATGTGTTTAGACTTTATCCCATTTACATCCACAGTGTTGGATTGCATGGAGTATAAGGTGATATAGCTGGATAGTTCATCCAAAAAGTGCATACTTCTAATTTATTGGTATGATTTAAAGTATTAAAGTAAAAATAAAATAATTACAGAAATAATTACAATGATCAATTCGACCCGGCCATTTGATTGTGCCACGCTACTGCTACCTCCTCCTCCTGCTCCTCTGAATCATCTGCAGCTGAAACATACAGTAGCCTCACTGTGGAATGTGTATCTGGCCTAGAGATGCATGTAACTTAATAATAGCTATTAAGCAGATCCTACTAATAGCTGTACGGCAAAATGCAGTGCCAAAAACCAGTGATCCGTGCTCGGTCGACACAAATTCAGATATTCTAGCCTCATCCAGACAACGGCGTTGACAATAACTGGTAAGGATGAAGTCACTGTCCTGCTTCCTCAGTGGGTGTGGTTTTATTCAAAGTCAGACAAAGGAGAAGAGACTGGCACAAGTGTAACAACAACAAACAATCAGTGCTGTGGACGTTTGACTTCACAAAGCACATCAAATCAGTCCTGAACCGTCATGGCACAGCAGCCTTCACGATGAGATGATGAAGAGTCTCTGGCTGTGTCTTTCTGCTAACTTTGGACACAGGAAAAAAAAGCACATTGAAGGAGTGAGGTTGGAGTTCAATGGGTCACAGGGACAGCGGACACACTCACAAATACACTACGTTACAAAAAACATCTGACCTGGATTCAGGCGTGGCAGCAGGGAAAGTCCTTGCAGTGAAACTTTGTGCACAGGAAAAAGTAGAGCAGGAGTACTGACCCAGTTTGGTCCACAGGATGCACACATTATGGTGTACGATGATTCTGGCTGAAGAACCAAGATGGAGCTGAACTGGGCACAATGGACAACAACGTATGTTAACAGAGACTGTTAGTGGAGGGACAAAGAAAATAATCAATCGAAAACAAAAAGCGCGTGAAAACGAGTGTAAATGTGAGATTAAGAGACAATTATTTTTACACCTGTCAATCATCATCTCACACTCTTTACTGGATTATTGTCCTTTAAATAAAAAGCACTACAAAGCAATGAACACACATTTCATGTTATTATTTTGTTTTTGTCACAGGTGATTGTAACATTAAGGCTAACAGGAACCGGTAGGTTTGTATCTATAGTTCGTAGGCAAACGTAAGTCTGTAATTTGCTACTTTTCTATCATCTCTACATTTAGGTAGACATGACTTCAGGTTGTTGATTAGATTTCTGAAAATGTAAATGCTTTTGTTAAGCTTCAGAATCTTTTCATTGTCAATAATTAATTTTTACATTATCATATTTGTAAATCAAATCATTCCTTTGACTTTCCAGTGGGGCTACAAGAAGAACAACAAGAAGCCTCTAGTTCATTTTTTTAAACGCATTATTTTGACATGAAATGATTTCTTTAATTTAAAGTTAGCTGATTTATTTCATTGTATGTATTGTAAGTGGATATTTAAGCAGTGTTTTTATTATCTCGGAGTGTGTCACAGAAGTGTGTCCTCAGCCGCTTACGGTGTGCCAAGGGAACTTTGTGCCCATGATGTCTTACACAAACACATGTTCATGTGCACTTGCATGTCTAGTCACAGCAGCCGTTGTAACAGACTAGAAGGATTGCTGATCCACACACAGAAAGTATGAATTTACCCACCACGATTTTGCCTTTGCATACAGTGTTGCCAGCTTTGTTTTTGGCTCAGGATTTCATTTGATGCTGCATTTCTGTGTCAACACAAGCTGTTTTGTGTAGCCATCCATTGATATGCCAAAGGGGGAAAAAAAAATCAATAATATTAATATAAATAACACGAGAGCAGGTGAAACTACAGTGCACAAAAGTATGTAAACGAATGTGTTACTGCATCAATAATCTATATCAGTGATACAAAGGTTGTGTGTGGTAGTCATCTTTTCCCTAAATCATAGAAAACTTATTTTTTACATTGACTAGGTTCCAGTTTGAGTAAATCTCCTCAGATTCTATATAAAGTTGTATTTAGGGATTTTGTCCACTGGGTGGCACAAAAGCTACGTAGATTGTAAACATGCAGCTGTTTGGCAGTCAATTCAGAGGATGAAGACAGTGAATGAAAATATGTTTCATTTCTGTTCACAGTCAGTGCTGTCAACACTTTGTTTTGTATTTTGAAAAATCATCATTGCTGTGACAACACCATATAATTCATCAGCGTGGTGTCATGTGATGTGATTGTGCTTCTTTTCTTCCTTGGAATCCTCCACTGATCTGAATATTTTCTGTTAATCAGGACTGAATGTGCCACAAAGCCATATTGCTCATTTCCCTGCTCCCTGGCTGGAATTGTACATATGTTGCTAAGCAGCTTCCTAAACTTGTATCCAAATGCAATGGGAGTTTCACTCATTCAAAATCAAATCACTGATGTAAAGACAAAAGAAAATTTACATTTCTGGTCTAACCTCCATTTCTACTGCATTGCTCATAGTCTGTCCTTGTTGCTCTATATGACACAAAACTGCAAATAAATTAAAGATGAAGGAGGTTTGTTTCTGATTTTTCTTTTCAATTATTTTTAACCATATTGTGTTGTTGTGACCACTGAAAAACAGAAAACTGCTTGTTTTGTGGTGCTATTTTTGTCTCTTTTGCTTAGTCCATTTCAGAGGTGAAAGTGAAGCAGAGTTAGCCTATCCCAGCAGAACTTCAAAACAGATCATTATTGTACATCGACACAAATTACTATATACTGAATGATACTGTATGTGTGTGCATATACATATATACAATATGTCCAGATATGTATGTAAGTATACATAATGTAATGGTAGTGAATAACACCTGTATAGTTATTGTCCTGGTCTTAAATGTGACTCTAGCACATGGTGATGATGATGAAAGATACATGTGAAGAAAATAGTAAGTAATATCTATTAGTATAATTATTAATATAAGGGTGCCATATGATGCAATAAGATTAACTGACGTCTTGTGATAAGTAGAACGTTGTTGTTAAATACTGTATCTTTTACCTCAGTGTGCCCAAGCTGTGTCTCTCAGGTAAGTGAACCCTTTTTAACACAATTTTAACAAACAAATTCAATTATATTTTTAAGCAATAACTTCAGAATGTTAATATAAAATAATAAAAACCTTCACTTGCATTATTTTATAGAAATAATAGGAAGCGCCTTCATGTTGTAGAAATACAAAGCCAAGATTTTACCTACCCCTTCATCCTTAACTCATTAAAACTCCACTTTTTTTCTTTTCAGGGTGAAGGGGAACAGCAGACAACAAGTGAAGATGGTTAGACCCTTGGACAGTTCTCCAGTCCACTTAAGGCCCAAAACGGCCATTCAGACTCACACTAAATACAAATAGTCAGCTAAAATGGATGAATTCAGCTCAACCCTAAAGCTGTATTTTTGAATAACGGATGAACATGGTAAACCTTTGGTTGTCATCAGCGATTGAACAAATGACCTTGTTGTAAAGCCCCACCTTTGTAAATATTACGTTTCTGAGATTGACAGTTTTCCCGTAATTAAAGTACAATGAATTTAAAACATTACCAATTAGATATTAAAGGTCGCCGTCTAATTTTACGCTTGAAGCATATCCAATTGAAGAAGAAACAGCTGTTTCCACAGCGTGCAAGCTAAAGTGCATTTCTGTAGGTTTGACACTAGAGGGCAGTAGATCGATTGCAATAATTTGCAGGTTGTTCGTGAGACCTGTTCAATTTTTTTCACTAATTAAACCTTTGTTTTTTTATTATTTAATCTTTGCATTATCCACGTATTAAGTGATAAAACTAAAACATTCCCAAAATGTATTATTGTTTCCCCTATAAAAAATAATTTGAGAACCATTTGGTTGTTGGAGTTACGTGCTGAAATGAGTGCCTAGTGTATTTCCTAAACTGGACTTTATCATTTATTATTGTGATACTTCTTATATTAACTTTTAATTTAGGATCTGTACTGAGAAGTGTGTTTCTCTGTTAGCTAGATCAGATGCCCTGTAATGGGTCCCGCCTGTGCTGTGTCTAATCAATAATCTAAATCTTCTGATGAATTATTCATTCATCAGCTCCTCGACTGTAGTATAACCATCTTCCCATCATTTCGACATGACAACATCATAAATAAACGCTGGCCTCCAGTCATCACGTCGTATTGCTGGGACTGAAATCAAATATGCGCTTGCTTCATTCTCTTTCCCGTCCTTTCATCACCATGTTGACTCCTTACTGCATGTTACTCCACAGATGTATCTGTGTTGTATCTGCAGAGCTTAGCTCCTGGCTGCACCTGCAGCTATAGCCCATCTCTGACCTCGGACTGAAAAGAACATGAGGGAAAAATACCAGTTAATAAAAATAGTTATTGATCTAATGATAACTGTTATGTTATAACATTAACTAAGGTCTAGTCCTTTATATCTAACGCTAAAAAAAACCCTGTCATATTATGATGGTGATTGATGTTGAGAAATATGCAGTAGTAGTTTTACGTGCTTGTCCCTCCTCTTGGTGGTGCTGTAGATCTTTGGAAAAACAAATCTTGCTCTAAATTCATCATTAGGCAATGACAAGAGAGCAACCCGACCCCAAACCCACCCCCCTATACTTGCATTTTTTTAAAAGAAGTACACAAACAAAGCGGAATAGTGGAATACCTTTTTTTGGAAGCAAGCTCATCTGAGTAAAGCTCATATACAATTGCTCAAAATAAATCTCCTCTTTTCTGGGGAAAATTATTGTATTTCAAATCTCACCTTCTCTGTTCCGTTTTGCAATGTAATTTATAATGTTAAAAAGAATATGTGGTTTAACTGCATTCAATCTTTGTAATATGAATGTTCTACACAGCTTTCCAATTTTTGAATTTTCAAAAAGTATGTGTAAGGTAAAAAATAATAATAATAATAATAACCCACTGTAGATTAAATGCCTTGTAAGGCCAAGCTTTTCAGACATATTCAGTTTGGCTTTAGGACCATTTTACACTGAACTTTTTCATGTTCCTCCTCAGCATTGACAAATGACATAAAGGACTTAGATTAGTCCAAAGTCACAGATCGGCGGTCAATTCTGCAGAAATGTGAAGAAGGAGTATGAGCAAAGGAAAGAAATAGGGGGGAGGATTCAGGCTACATCCATACAGATAGTGTGGTGTTACTGCAGCAGCAGCAGCAGCAGGCTGCTGCCTCTGAGCAGCTCCTCATTGAGCAGGGGTGAAGTCAGTGGAGCAAAGGATGAGGTAAAAGAAAAGAGGGGAGGGCTGAGATGAGATGAGGGAGTAAAAAAAAGTGAGGAATACATAACAAATCTGAAGTGACATAACTGGATGTGGTTTGCCTGACCCTGAGACGACACACTGATCTCTCACTCCTTTTGAACCAGTGGGGTTGTTGCTGTTTTCTGCTCCTGCAGTGCTGCCTGTAAGAGGCTTTTTTCTTCTTCTTCAAGCCACCTGGACCCTTCTGCCTGATCTATTGTTTTGCCTCTTTTTCCCTTTTACTTCACTATTGCACGTCATTCCATTTCCCATTGAGTCAATTTCACATACAGCTGCATCTGTTCTCATCTATATGCTGAAAATAGTCTGTACTGCCTCTCCCCAGAATCTCTACAATAACTCTCACCTACTGCAATCGTCCTATCCAGCTCTCCTCCACGTCTATTAACACACAACCAGGGTGTGTGTTTGACTAGCAAACTAATAATATTCTTAAAATTACATAAATAAATCATGATTATGTTCATTAATTGCTTCATTCTTGTTTTTTGCACTCAATTTTTTTAAGATGGGTTAAATGTATTCATGACAATACAATGAGGGCAATCCAACCTGCGGCTCTGATACAGCTATTGCGCATGCGCTACCTCCACCTGATGCGGAAATGTCCGGACTGTTGTGACGTTAACTAGCGTGCTGACAGGAAATGGCCAACTTCATAGTGAGGTAAGTAAATCATACATCTTTTAATAAATGTATTTAGGTCAGTAGTGCGTGTGATAGTAGTTTGTCAGAAATATTGGAATCGTTTTAGGGAACTGTCAACTTTGAATGAGGTGTGTTACCTGGTTGTCTTTTTGATTTACTTGAAGAGTTTGCGACTTTGAGCAAAGGAGCGACATATTGGTTGGAAAGCCACGTCCGGCAAACTGAATTTGAATTGTTTTGAGATGCTTTGCTTGGGAAAATTGCTTTTTTTTTGCCAGCGGAGTTTGGTGTCTTTGAGGAGTGCAATATTTAGGGTGACAACGTAAATGGTTTAATTCTGCTGAATCAGAGTTTAGTGGGGAATGCAGAATTATTTATGTGAGCTATTGTTTTATTATATTATTTAGTGTGTGTTGAAAAATAAAATACACATTAATAATAATAAATTATTATTTTTTCTTTAACAGTAATTTAACACAAAATAAAGAGTAATCCCCGTGCTCTGAGATTTCATGCACCTCCCCTTCAATACAGGATAATTTCATATAGTTGTTCATATTTTATTTTTACCTAGTTGGCATTATGCAGTTTAATCCCCCTGACCCAATACTGGCTTGTTTTTGGTATAGTCATTTGCAAATGCATATTTCTATTTCTTTCAGTGATATGTATATGACAGTGTAAACATTGTGTTACCAGAAAGCATAGTAGGTACAAATTACTTTAGCATTGTACCATACACCATCAGTATAGAATAAGCCAACATTATCTGTGCATATATTAGAATTGTCCATGCACATTCAAGACAAAGAGTGGACTGAACACTCTAAATGTGAGTTATGTGAAAGCCATGACGTATTCTCGGAGAAAGATGTTGTTGCTCATATTGGAACACATCTGCAGAGTAACATTGCAGTGAATTGTGTGTACCTTGGTTGCACTTTCAAGACATATTTACAATACATTTAATAAACACAAGAAGAGGAAGCATCTTCCACACAGAGTTAAAGGTTTTAAAGCCAATGTAATTACACTCGTGGACCTGGTTCAAGCGACTGGTTCATATTGACAATTTTGAGGTTTGTAACCCTCTTGGAACCTCACGCAAAAATCATGAGCTCTGTGGTGTGTATTGGGTCTTGGACAGTTTAGCTCATGGCTGTCATTCTGCCCTTTCATCAATTTATTTGGCAGTTCTTTGTAAAAACAAATTTGAGGACTTTTGGGTTTGAAAAAGTCTTGGATCCACTTGTAATTTTGGAGCAACATGGTGTGTTCAGTTGTGTATAGTCAGTTGAATGAGTGTACTAACAGAACTGTGAGTTGTGTTACAGCCGAGAACCTAGGAGCCCATGTGTTGGCAGGATTTATGGAAAGTTTTTCTGCTGAATGCATCTGTGCTGTAGATTGTGTACAGCTAAGAAATCAGATGTGCTGGTGTTTTTGAGTGTATAACACAGAAATTTCACAGACCCCATTTGAAGTGTGCATTAAAAATAACAAGTATGTGTTGTGAAGTTATACAGGATTGTATTTTTAAGAATCTCAGCCATTTTATGTCACTGCAGGCAGGCTACCCGCCAGGTCTCACCCATGATCTGTTGGAGTGCATAATAGCTGTAGAACTTGCTCATTGTTTTTCTATTTAATCTCGAAAATGTTTTTGACCTTGGAAAAATTTGATCCAAAATATCCAGTTAAAACCAATTGTTCATAAATGTACACTGAGATTTGAGGTGCAACATAGTTTTTCAAACAGAATGCTCACCTCTTTTGAAAACATACCTCTCACATTTAGTGGAAAACTTCAGCTTATGATTGCCTCTGACTTGCATTCCTCTCACCATAGGACACCTTTGACGATAACCACTGTCTCATCAGTACCAATTGATGTTCTGCAAAGTGACACTGCAGTAGCTATTATATATAAGATTGCCAGATGCGACTGATGACCATATTACAAAAAGTGTATCATACAATGGTATGAACTAACAAAAGAATGATAGTTGTCCAAGGGATGTTGGACAACTATCTGGTCTGCCAGAGTTTGCAGAAATTGTGAAGATTTTAATTTTGCAAGACAGGATACACTTTTTGGGAACAAGTTTTCTGCCTGGTATCAAGAGTACTTCAGAACTTTTGAACTTGACATGTCACATGTGGTAGAGGTCTCTCTGACTGAGCATGGGAAGACTACCTCTTAGCTGCCTATTCAGTATGAGGCCTGCGTCTAGTTACTCTGAAGAGACACATTAACTGTAATAGTAAACATGTTACATGTTTGTAAGTATTTTCTCGATATATCACATGTCACGGTACATAATAAAATTAGGCTTGGCAAAACAGCTACTACTTAATTTTTTGAGAATTGACTGTTGATTTTTTTAAAAACAATTTCCAATAGGAATCTCCAAGGTGACATTGTCCAAATTTGGTTAATTTCCTTAATTGTTGATATTAGAATTTAATCTATGTATAGACTCACTCATGTAATTGTCTCAAATGTTTTTCATTCTGTAATATTCAATGAGTCTGTTTTTATTTATTTATAGTTATTGTTCAGGGCAATGGCAGAGCTCATTAAACTGAGGATCATACTCGAAGATGATGCCAGGAAACTAATTGTGCCAGCCGGGGTATCACACTCCTTTGAGCAATTGGTCCAAGAAATAAAGACTAATTTTGGAGAGCAGCAGGATTTTCGCCTTGAAAATTATTTTGCAAACCTGACTGCAATCTCTGAAATAAATCATAAATAATATGTCAACCTGTAGGAGTCTGAAGTCCAACGCATTCCCTTTTCAATTGCAGAAACAGATGCTATGGAGCCTACTTCATCATCAGGTTGATCGCCATCTACAAGACTCAGTCAATGTGGCCAAGTTTCTTCCCAGTCCTCGTTTAAGCTGTAAGACTGAACTGTAACTTGAAAAGGCCGAGGCTTAGTTCAGTGCTGGTGGAACCCATTTATCCGGGGCCAGGCCCAGCCGAAAAAGCATCGTGGGCCCACCTTCCAGTAGGTCCACCACCCGCAGGAAGGTCTACATGGGGATGGTGCCATGCGATTTGGGTGGCGGTTGTGGGCGAGGACCCCGATGGCCCAATAACAACTACTCTGGCTATGGGGACATGGAATGTCACCATTTAAACCCCATACCAAAATTATAAACACACTTCTAAGAAAGACTGGCTGAAGAAATCATTACATTTAACGTCTATCAAACTGACAATATCCTAAATGAAGTTGCACTTTAAAATGGCCAATGTCCCCACCAAACTCAAAGGCCTAGGCTGTGCAGAGATGATGGTAAATTCACTAAACAACAAGGCCCAAGACAAAAGTCAGGCAGCATTGAATGTGAAAATGTGAAAAGTCAGTTGTCCACAAGGGGAAACCACTGACAGTGTGAAAAAGGAGGGAATTGCCCTGCTTTCAGAGATTCTGAAGAACAACAATAAGCATATAGTGAGAATGAAAATGGAGAAGACTTTCTCATACAGAAGGCAAGAAGTAATTTAAGGACCGCCGTTGATTGCAGACTCCAAATGCAGACAACCAGCTCTGTTCACTGAAAAAGAGGTGCATGTCTTCTATGTTAGGCTTTATGACCAGCTGTTTCTCTCGTCACTAATATTGATATAATGCAGGACTCAAACAGCTAATAATTCCTGGTACGTCCTTTCTCTGTTACATGTTGTGCTCTGACAGTGAAAGTACATTGTTCATTCTTTTAGGTGGACAAGGAGTTCCTGTGCATATCAACTGTACTGCTGCTATCAACATTCTTTTCTGAGCTACACCGATACACTCCATGCATGATGGAGATTTTTACTACTCAAGGAGGGGAAATGGAGAAATGGAGAAAGATCAAGGGAGCCGTCTCCAAGGTTTGTATTAAAATGGTTAGGCCTGTGCTTATAGAATACATTTTATGCTCCTATCTCCATCATTGCATGAGCAAAAATATGTAGATTTTTCATGACTCCCGTTTTTTCCCCCAGGTTGACTACATATAATACATGCATCCTCAAGTCCTTGTGCATCTACCTGAACTAAGACCATGAGAAACTTGTGAAGGAAAATGTGGTGAGTTACATTCACTAGGTGTGACAAAGATGTAGACCTACAGTATATTACATATATTTACTTAGGTTATACGTAATTGATTGCAATTCATTTCACTTTTTACTATTTGTATTTGTTTTATCTCTCCATTTGTACTGATTAAAGTGCTTTTATTAATAAAATTGGAAATGTTTTCATAATTTTAGGATCAGCAATTAGCATAGTGCTATTTTTTGCTTCCTGTCTCCTGCCCCCATATATATTATATTCTATCTATATATCTATCTATCCTAATTCACAGAGCACTTCGACCAACACTGAAGCCATGAAGCAGACTGTGACGGGAGTATTTGTCATACAGCATGAGGGTGCACAGCGTACAGATGACTCTCCTGATCGAAGGTATGGCGGTTCTTAGTGGTTTGAGGAGCATCGCAATAGTTGACCTCTGTTATTCCTACTGATGTACTGTTTGAACCTAAGCTACCCATTGGAGCTCAAATGCACCTTTGAAGTGATGCAAAAGGTTCTCATGGATCTGGATAGGCAGGGGTTGTTATCCAGGTTACCGTTCCTAAAGAACAAGTCTACAAGATAAATGAACTGAAAACAGAGTTGTGGAAGCCATGTCTTTTTTAATACCTGCAATGCAGAGTTTTTTGTGTTTGACAAATTTAGTTCAAGTTCAAATCAAAGTTGTTTAGTTGGTCTTCTCAGAACACTTGAGACTGAACTGTTGGGTCATATGTTAAAGTCTTATTCACTTTTGTTTTACACAGGTTTTACTACAAGGACAGTTGTCGCAAAGGCTGTTGTACTCACTGGATTTCAAAAAATGTGGAGCTTTTGTACTTGAACGTGAACACATTTGAATGCTTTTTCCACATGTTAAATAGAATAAAGTCACTGGAAATAGGGTTCTTAAAATGAAGCACTAATTTACAAGATTTGACATATTCTCATGTTAACAAAAAGTGTGCTAATAACATTAAAGTAATGCTTTATTACTTTTGTTTTAGTTTTTGCACCAATCCCAAAAGGTAGCTGTAGGGTTATTTTTTGTGGGTAAATTATTCTACATTTGTTGAATATTAAACCTTACAAGTGCCCACATTTTAAGGACTTTGTGAACTGTTTAATTTTCCATGTATTTCCACAATATGGCATAGAGATGATAGTTTAGATGTGGCTCTGTTGGTTGGTGCTCATAAGTTTAGCAAGGGATGGTTAAAGTGAGAAAGCTGGGCTGAACAGGGATCTTGGCAATTGTTTTGAGAGGGTTAGAGCAAAATAAAAGAAAGTTAAAATAACTTTGCAAGCTTTTCTGTATATCTGTTTTAGTAATTTGATTCAATTAAATTTTTATGTTATATTAGCAAGTGAATATATGTACATACATATGTTTGTGTGTGTATACATGTATGTATATGCATGTAAATGTGTGTGTGTGTGTGTATTGCAGATGTATATGCATGTAAATGTGTGTGTGTATTGCAATATGGATATGCATGTATGTGTGTATACAGTATGTATGTGTTTTTGGACACTTGCACAGAATGCACTGACAGACAAGTTTTGCTGTCATACCTGAATTAATTTTATTTTCTACTAAACAAATAGCTTCCACCATCTTCCCATTATTAGCTGCCAATATTACATTTTCTGTTATATGCGTCAGTGAAACAAAGCCTTAAGCAATAATAACTGTGAACAAGTAAAAGTAAGTTTTCAAATAAGAGGATGCAAATTTGAAGAAATTGGTTTACAAATATTAATAAGATTTTAATTAAATTTCTTTGTCTACGCACAAAAGTATATGCACAAACTCTGTAGAATGATCATACATTTTAAAGCTTAGAAAAACCTTTCTGTTATATTTGGGGTTGGAGTCATAAAGTTGCAGTACTCGAGAGGCATTCCCTAGTTGCATGAAGTTTATTCATGATTCAGAAGATTCAAAAAGTATCCAATAACTGCATTCGAGATGCAGGCTGGAATAAGCAGTACTACAGAAGTGCAAAACACTGTGCATAAACACTAGGCATGGACAGGACAGAAACAGGAACAAGAACAAAGCTCAGCCTGGCATGGCCGACCTACACTGAAGAATGAACCGACAAGGACTGAGTGATGGAGAGAGGTACAGTATATACAGTATATACACATACAGACACGAGTGAGACTAATGAATGAGACACATTTGAGTGTGATGACACTGATAAACTCAACACAAGTAGCGGGGAAGTGAGACAGACATACCTCACACTTTTTGTTAAGGCTTGTCTGGTTGTTGATATTCATTGGCATGGATTGATTTAATGGCTGACAAGTTGAATTAATGAATATTTGAAGCAGTGTAAAGGAAGGAAGGAAAGTGAACTCCTTGTCTTTGTTACACAGCACACCACTGCACCCAACCAAATGTGACCTCTGCATTTGAGTCATCACCAAAGTGAACAGCTTTGAGCACCCGGGCAGCAGTGTGTGGGGACGGTGCCATGCTCAGAGCACCTCGGTGGGAACTTGGCAGCTGGCGGATTCTAACCTGAAACCTTCCGGACCCAAGTCATCACGACAGCACCAGATCCACTGTAGATGGCTGCATTGAGAATCTCGCCAAACGCCTGGTTAGGTTGGCAATGGTTTCCCAGTGACCTTTGAAAAGATAAGTGGTATAAATGTTGGGAGAAAGATGGCTGAACGGGTGCATGAATGGATTTTGTTTGACTTTGTCTGAACACTGGCTTTAAAGCCCAGAAAACTTGGCTCTATGTATTTAATAAAAGGCCAAAGGCTCTCTTTCTCTGCACTGATATAATCCTACTTGACATTTAAATACCGCCCAATTTTTACTGAACAAAAACCTAAGTTTTAAACATCACAATCATCACTCTGCATGACATTAGAAATGGGCTTTTTCCTGTAATGACCAACGTTCTGTTTGTATGTGGCTTCTACACAGGTTACATGTCTTCCTCTTATCCAACCTGACCTCCTGTATAAGTCAAATACTTATTCAAGTACAAGAATGTATTACTATAAAGCACTCAGTGTAGTTGCCTGTAGCTATTCTCTAAAGCTTAGTGTTGCAATGTTTTCAGCAATATTTGTACATTTGAGAAGTGGATCTCAAAATATTTAAGGCAAGAGTGGATTTAACAGATTTTGTAGAGGAGCTGTATAGTTTGGTTGAAATCCAGGTTTTAATCTTTTATGACATTGACATGCCATACAAAAAAATCCAGAAAAAAAGTACAAGGTGAAATATATTTTCCAAGCTTAAACACAAGTGTAAGTCCTAATACAAAACATTTTGTTTCAGTCGATGTTAACACAATTGTGTAATAATTTCTCTTTTAAAGACATTCTGACTTTCCAACGAAAATATATGTAAACAATACCAAATCTGTCATTTTATCTCAAAATAAATGCAGCTGCATGTTTTTAAAAGTTTTAAATTTTTAAAAGTAAAATGCTAATAATAGTGAGTAGTCTTTCACCAGTTTTGTGTATTGTGATCATTATCATGTTGGAAAATAACACTTTCACCTCAAGGCATTTCTGGTTCAGTTTTCACAGAGGCATGTTTTCAGTTAGTTAGTTCCTGGTCCTCAGAAAAGATTTTATAATGCCTTTCTAGCCATCTAAGGCTTTATGAGCATTAACTATGGCATTATCCAGTCTATACTGCGTTATTTTGTTTTGCCTTTCTACTTTCACAGGAGGTAGCAAGTTTAAACCAAGATAGAATGTTTAAAATCATTGACAGTTGTCTTAATTAACTAAATGTTGCCATACATGCTGTTGGAAACAATTGCACTGTATAAAAGCAATGAAAGTGAGCGTTCTTTTGGGGGAGAATGTCTGCTGCTGTACTTGAGCGTCACGAGTCCTCCTTTAACTACGTAAGCCACGCCCAACCGTCGATGCGGCTTTGCACATCTGAATACAATGAACATTAATTATGACCACTGCAGCTTCCGACGCACCACCAGCAAAAACACAGTAAAATTATTAAGACACTATTTTAACATTAATTTAACTTTAATTTATTTTATATATTTTTAAAATATTTTTATTATATTATTATTTTACTATTTTTGTTCAGTATGTCAGTGATGCTCCGGCTTGTCTGTTGTTTTGTGTACGTCAGCAAGGTAAGAAAGAAAACGGGGGAGTTGACTTACTGTTTGCTTACTGTTTTAAAGCCGAAATGTAAAAAAAAAATATATATATTTTTGTCAAGCTGACTCGTTTCACACTGACTCGTTTTCGTTTGCTGATATTGGCTGCAATTTGGCGCAGCTACTCCTTAGATTTAACGTTTCAGTTAGAACTTATATGCAATTCATACACTATATGCATATTTATATGTATATAAATTTGTGGGTTTTTTTATTAATTTTTTTTTTTTCCGAAGTTGTGCTGTTATTGGATGGCGTTGTTATTCCATATTCGGAAGTCTTCGTATGGAACTGAACTCTGGGTCTTAATTGAACCGTGTTTGCACCTGCGAAAATATCCATCATTAAAAACGGAGTCGCTGTCGGTAACGTTCAACAAGGGGATACATATCTAGGTGTCATTTTTATATAATATTTGTTATTAAATAATAAATTATACTTCTATCGAATTTTATTCTTATTTATATATTTTTTATTTTACTTAATTGTTGTATTTAACCATGTAGTAACATTCTTTAACTGCAACATATGTCACAAACAACTGAGTAGCAAATACACATATTACCCTAGTAAAAAGTATTCAATTTAATTGTCGCTTGAGTAGATGTATAAAAATATTTACCTTAATATATACTTAAGTATTAAAGGTAAAGGTACCCTGATGAATTAGTCTTCTAATGGCCATTTATTATTTTCAAATCAAAAGGTGAAAATACCAATAGCACTATTTAAATAGTGTCCTACATTTGTCTATCTAACCATTGAGTGCCTCCTACCAATGAATCAAGACAAATAAATGACTCATAATACAATATCAATCTTAAGAGTCTCATTTTAATAACAGGGTGTTTAGAGCCTGTGAATTTTAAAGTGTGTTTTTGTAATTACATTGTTCTGTCCACAACCCAGAGTGGAAGTGAATAGGCATATAGACAGTAGAGCCTAACTAGTTTATGAGACATGAACAATGACAAAGTGACGAAAGTTAAGGCAGGTCAAAATCCCTCTCAAATGAGTATGTTCAGAACAAAGTGGACATCTGGTCACCCAAGGCAGCTACAGAAGCCGTGTAATTTAGAAGTCTTTGATTTATGAACAAAATTTGAAAAAAACCCAAACAGTTTTAAATATTAGGTTGAGAACACTTTGTTTAGAGTAATCTGCAATATACACTTAAATTTAGGTTTAATAGCTGTTTTATTGTTATTAAATTAATTATTAATATATTTAATATAATTCATACAATTGACACAGTTGTACTTTTAATCTTATTTCACTGTAATCCTGATTACTGTTATGAATATGCCTAAATGCTGATTATTAGCTGTTGTAATGAGATTACTCTGTAGTTCAAACACCAAGGGAAGATGCTGTGCTCTAATAATGCAATCCAATCTATCCATAGTGCAGCAGACCTACCCTGTGAGGCTCATCTGAATTCCTATGAACTGGTGACACTAAATGCTGATGTGAGTATATGAAGTTTTTTTTATCCATGCATTGAACTGAGCATGTTTACTTGCTGCTTGTTTTTCAAGGCAATATTTCATGTAAAGTTGTATTTAATTATTAGTATTTATTTAATTACTTACTATGCTGTTTGTGCAAGACAAGTGGATCTGTATTGTGTTAAATCAGTTAACATCTTAACATTGGTTCGATTGAACCCCAGGGTTTCAGCAGAGGACAAGACACACACCCGACTCAAATGATTTGTGATGACGCCCCCCACTTGCCAAGTTCAGTGAATGCGCATATGAAACTGGTGGGGTTCACTACCTCCAGCATGGTTAAGAACCATTGTGTTAAATTCATATTACAGTATGTGAGAAAAGTCTCTTGTCAGAGAAAAACACTTTTTTTGTAACATAGCATCTGTTATTGAACATCTTTATAAAAAAAAAATTTCAGTCGTGTCAAAGCAGCTGCTGGCAACTGAGATGTCTCTGTGAATTCCTGTTTTGTTGCAGCACAGATGAAACAGGCAGTTGGACCGAAAAGCAGACTCAGCAGCCAAGGCTGTAAAAGTAAATCAGCCTTCACTTAGTTGTTAATCGGGGGTAAAGTCGGCAACACAGTGGCAGACTGATACAGCAAATACTGCCAAAGTGCTGGCAGTACTTAATAAAGTGGCAAAAGGTTATCAAAATTAGTGTTTATAAAAAAGAATATAAAAGCGCTCTAGAGTTGCGAGAATTTGGTGACACAAACAAATTAAGGCTGGAGACAATAACTATCCAGTTGTTATTTCTGTGAAGACCAACATAAGTTGGCCAGACCACAGGCACATATAGTTATGCTGTTCATCCATTTATTTTTGATTAATTTTTTAGAAGCTACCCAGGCCAAGTGCAACCACCTGCAGCAGAGATGATTCAGAAATCTGTCTAGTACAAGGCACCTATGTATAGCAGATATTTGTTAAATATTTAAATTTGATGGTAATTGTTGTCTTCTGGATGCTGCACAGAATGTCAAGTGTTCTTGACTTTCCTCCTTCTTGCTGTTTGTCAGGGAGAGCATGTTTAGGCTGTGCAAAATGAGGTGCTGAGGAAACGGTATTGATTTTTCTAAGGTGCTGAGGAAACGGTATTGATTTTTAAGAGTAAATGAGAGTAAATGCCTAATTTGACACTGGACAGATTAAAACCCACTTTGTTTTTGCAGTGCTTGCAAAGCTGTTCTTTTTCTTTCTTTTTTTTACCCATTTAGTGTGCAGTTCATGAGAAATGGCTGTTCTCAAGTTTTTAGATACTGGGGCAGACCATTCAAAGAATATGAAACAGCCCTCATACTGCAACCTCTGTTA